ATCTTTTCTTGGAGTGGGTCCGGTGTCACCCCATATAGGTTGCATGCCGACGATCCCCACAGGATCCATCCTGTGGGGATCGTCGGCTTGCTTTACAACTTACCTTTTCGTGGAGCAGGTCCGGTGTCACCCCATGCGGTCGGTGTCACCCAGTGCGGCCGCACTCCCCACACCTGCCTCGGGACTCCACTGTAGCTAGTCATTGTCTAGGAGACTAAGGAATTAAATAAGCCTGACCAAAACCTCTGCAATAAGACACAAAAATACAGGCATTGTGTTTTACAGAAAATAAACTTATAACAAATGAAATTTATACAAGATAGACAGAAAGGGTAGGATAGTTACCGTATTTTCCGGCGTATAAGACGACCCCCTACTTTTCCTGTTAAAATATAGTGTTTGAGCTATACTCGCTGTATAAGACTACCCCTCTTCCAACACACACCAAATAAAAATTGAAAAACATCAGATTTGATTTCAATATGGTATGGAATTTCAGTATGGTATTCCAATGATGGGGTGCTATTCCTCCCACTGACACCAATGATGGGGCACGATTCCTCGCTCTGACACCAATGATGGGGCACTATTCCTCCCACTGACACCAATGATGGTGCCCCATCATTAGTGTCAGTGTGTGAGGAATAATGTCCCATCATTAGTGTAAGTGGGAGGAATAGTACTCCATCATTGGTGTCAGTGGGAGAAATAGTGACCCATCATTGGTGTCAGTGGGAAGAATCGTGCCCCATCACTGGTGTCAGTGGAAGGAATAGTGTCTTATCATTGGTGTCAGTGGGAGGAATAGTGCCCCATCATTGGTGTCAGAGCGAGGAATCGTGCCCCATCATTGGTGTCAGAGCGACGAATCGTGCCCCATCATTGGTGTCAGTGGGAAGAATAGCACCCCATCATTGGTGTCAGTGGGAGGAATAGCACTCCATCATTGGTGTCAGTGGGAGGAAAAACGCCCCGTCATTGGTGTCAGTGGGAGGAATTGTGCCCCATCATTGGTATCAGTGGCAGGAATAGTGCCCCGTCATTGGTGTCAGTGGGAGGAATAGTGTCCCAACATTGGTGTCAGTGGGAGGAATAGTGCCCCGTTATTGGTGTCAGTGGGAGGAATAGTGTCCCAACATTGGTGTCAGTGGGAGGAATAGTGTCCCAACATTGGTGTCAGTGGGAGGAATAGTACCCCATCATTGGTATCAGTGGGAGGAATCGTGTCCCAACATTGGTGTCAGTGGGAGGAATAGTACCCCATCATTGGTGTCAGTGGGGGAAGGAATAGTGTTCCATCATTGGTGTCAGTGGGGGGTGGAATAGTGCCCCATCGTTGGTGTCAGTGGGGGGGGGAGGAATAGTGCCCCATCGTTGTTGTCAGTGGGGGGAGAGGAAAAGTGCCCCATCGTTGGTGTCAGTAGGAGATAATGCCCCATCATTAATATCAGTGACACCAATGATGGGGCACTATTCCTCTCACTGACACCAATGACACTTGCTGACCCCTGTTCCAGCATATGTGGTTGCAACAGCACCTTTGCACGGCACACTTACCGGCCACTCTCTCACTCGATTTTCACGGGGCCGCTCGGCTCCGCCTCCTCGCCGGTGATTGGCCGCCTGTGTGCCTTTCCTGAGCTACAGTTCTGGCGGCCAATCACCAGTGAGGAGGCGGAGCCAAGCAGCCACGCGAACATCCAGTGGCCGAACTGAATGAAGGAGCAGCCGCATTCCTGGACTGGATCGTCGTGAGACTGGGACCTGAGCAAGGTAAGAAACAGCAGCCCCTGCCCACCCCTGTACTTAGTGTCCCTTCCGTTGGAAACAAATTGGCCTTCTCTAAAAACTCTATGTTAAAAACTGAGGGTTTGGTTGCACATGTTTGCAAATATACATAGTGTGGTGCTAACTGTATAATTGTAGAGTCTCCAAGTTGGAGCATATATAGCAGAGGATAAATAGAGGGGAGGTATGTCTGGAAAGAGCCCACCCTATTTAACCCCTTCACGCCTAAGAGTAAAACAAATGTTAAAGCCTAAGTAAAATTTTACAACGTTGACATGTGTTAGTAAAACTGTACATATCATCACAACTACTTTGTACATCCAGGTGAATTATACCTTGTATTTTTCAGAACAATTTAGGCTTTCATTTGGTGGTAAATGGTAATATTTTTCCCCTGACTTGTTTTTATTATCCAAGGAAAACTGTCCCAAAATAGTAAACAAAATTTTTTTTTAATTTAGCTGTGTTTGTCTTGTTATGTTACTACCATAACCTACCACCAAAGAACAACCCAAAATAAATTTTGCAGCTCTTGACGATCGCAGCGATACCATGTATGTGCACTTGTTGTATGTACCTGTAGTACAGCCCAGAAACAGTAGTGCGCATTTTATTTTTTGGTTTTTTTTTTACCTAAAACACACTGACATTTACACTAACTGACACTGATACCAAAAAAAAAAAAAGCTGACCTTTGACCTTGACCCAAACTCTAACTCTGGCACTGAACCAGATCAAACCTTGATCTAGCTATTTTTCTTTATTTTTTAATATTTATTTATTTACTTTTTTACAAACTGTATCTCTTTCGTCCATTCTGAGAGAAAAAAAGCAAAGGGGTTGGGCTTCACAGTGACTGATCACTGTGACAGCCAATCAGAGGCTATCACAGCTATCATGTGACCCAGAATCAGGAGTCCCGGGTCCCGATCATTAGAATGGGACCTGGGGCTGTCAGTGGCACCCTGGTCTTTGTGCTGGGAATGTACTGTGCGGTACACTCCCAGCACAAAGACAGGTACGCAAGTATGCAGCCCCACGGAAAAAAGCCCAGTTCTGTGAGGCCACATATTTGTGTTACATCAGTGCCAAGGCATTAAAGGTACAGGGACACATTAGAAGTCCAGCAAGAGCACAATGGCAGCTGAAGGCATCCGATATGTCCCTAGACTGTTGGGGGTTCTTAACCACTTCCAGTCCGGACACTTTTACCCCCTTCCTGACCAGGGCAATTTTCAGCTTTCAGCGCTATCACACTTTGAATGACAATTGCGCGGTCATGCAACACTGTACCCAAATGAATTTTTTACCATGTTTTTTTTATAAACGTTTGCAAATAAATAATATTTCATCATAAATCTTGCCCAAAATGTATTCCGTTATCTTTTTAGTAAAAACAAAAAAAATCCAAATTAGTTTATAACCAAAAACTATAATTTTTAAACATTTTTTTTTAAATTTTTATATTATTATTTTTTATTTTTATTTATTTATTTTTTTACATACTGTCACCCTAGCATTACAGTGTCACCATGGTGACACTGTACTACTTGGGGTGATGAAGATTTTTTTTTTTTTTTTTACACTGATTGCTTTTACACCCATATAGGATGTAAAAGCAATCATTTCTCTTTCTCTCTGTCCGCATTCTTGCAGTCATTGAGAAGTAATGAGTGAGCTGTGATTGGTCACAGCTTGTCACATGGTACAAGGCTGTTGTGAATAGCCTTGTACCATGTGACCTCTGTGATCATTCACAGATTTCACACATAGTAAGCAATGATGTCACAAGTGACATCTTGCTTACTACTTTGCATGTGATCACTGATTAGCTGATCAGTGATCACATGATCGGGACCTCGTACAGAGGCCCTGTACGACGATCGGTGTTTCACTGTGTCCGGAGGACACAGCGGGCACCGGATCGCGGTGCTGCACACTCCCAGGGAGCGCGCACAAGCAGGGTGCGGGGAGGCCGTTTATAAACAGCCACCTGACCCTGCACTGCCACCGTCCGGCCGTTTATATACAACAGCCGGTCGGGAAGTGGTTAAGTCTGCCTCCAAAAGGTTCAAACAAGCTTGATAAGTGAAAGTGATGCTTACATTTAGGAGCAATAGTAAGACCGCCACCTTTAATGGATAAGTTCCCCTTTTGTAACATGTTACACTCATATCCTGAGTGTAACATGTTACAATTGTACAGGCCCCCACTCCCATCCAATCTCCTGTTGTGACAGCTAGCAGGAGATATTCTTCCCACACTATCTGTCACAATCTTAAAAAGAAAAACGCTGCCATGCGGGTCTCCGCCTGCCCGTCTGCATCATCCATCCACAGTGTTCTGTGAATTGGAAAACTTCAGATCCTGACAGTCTTTGCAGCGGTCAGCTTGTAGTTCCCAATGAACTACCATGGCACTGTTGACAGCTGTGGTTGTTCATTTTCTCTTTCCGTCAGTGTATACCTTCCTGCCTGTATAAGGTAGGAGCAGACAGATACACTGACAATTCTGCAGAGGTCCCACATGGCAATTTGGCATTTCTTTACTTGGAGCCTGTAAAGCGTTGCACCAGTGATCAGCAAAAAAGACGTGCATGTATTATAGTTTTAAAAAAGTGAACTTATCCTTTAATATGATCAGTCTCCCTATCCAGCTATTTTTAATCAGATTCCACTATGAACCTATGTCTATAAGCTGCACTGCAAGTCAAGGCTTCCTAAAGGAAAATCAGTTGTTGTGTAGAGTGCCACCCAATCCACACAACTTGTTTTGTTCAAGGATGTGCTAGCAGACTCAGATGGCTAAAGGTTGTTGGACTGTGGTTGTACATCTAAATATCTTCTAGTGTCTAAGGCTAGGAATACTGTCTCTGCATTGTAATCTCTTCCTTCACCTCCTGCAAGTGAGCTATATTAACTACTTGCCTACAGGGCACTTATACCCCCTTCCTGCCCAGGTCAATTTTCAGCTTTCAGCGCTGTCACATTTTGAATGACAATTGCGCGGGCATGCAACATTGTACTCATATGAAATTTTTACCATTTTTTTAGACAGATAGAGCTTTCTTTTGGTGGTATTTAATCACCTCTGGTTTTTTTATTTTTTACTAAACAAACCAAAAACCGCTGAAAATTTTGAAAAAAAAAAGTTTTTTCTTAGTTTTTGTTATGAAATTTTGTAAATAAGTGATTTCTCTTCACTGATGTGCGCTAATGAGGCTGCAGTGATGAACACTGATAGGCTGCACTGATGGGCACTGATGAGGAGGCATTGGTAGGTGGCACTGATGGGCATTGGCAGGCATCACTGATGGGCACTGAAAGGCAGCACTCATATATGGAACTGATAGGGAGCACTGATAGGTGGCACTGATAGCCGACACTGACTGACACTGATAAGCGGCACTGATAGGCGGCACTGACTGACACTGATAGGTGGCACTGACTGGCACTGTTAGGCTGCACTGATGCGCATTGATAGGTGGCCCTGACGCGCACTGATAGGCGGTACTGACTGGCACTGATAGGTGTCACTGATTGGCAGCACTGATAGGTGGCACTGACTGGCATTGACAAGTGGCACTGACTGGCACTGATAGATGGCACTAAAAGGCAGCTCAGATGGGCACTGATATGTGGCATTGATGTGGCACTGATGGGCACTGGCAGATGGCATTGATGGGCACTGACAGGTGGCACTGCTGGGGCTACACTGATCATCAGGGCACACTGATCATCAGTGCCCTGATGATCAGTGTACATGTCCCCTCCCAGGAAGGTCGATTGCCAGCTCTCCTCTCCTCTCGACAGCTCGTGAGGAGAGAAATGCTGATAACCAGCATTTCCTTATTTACATGCGATCAGCTGTGATTGGACACTGATCAAATGACCGAGCTGGCGTCTTCGGCTCTTTCCATTGATCTGTGATCCGCTGTGTCCGAGGGACACAGCGCACCACAGATCGCCTCGCTGCAAACCCACGGAGCCGCGCACGCGTGGTTAGAATGGGAGGACATCATATGACATCCTCCCAGGATGAGAGAACCGCTTTGCGCCCATCATTTCCTTATATGGTGGGCGGGAGGCGGTTAAAAGGGCACTTGTTTTGCTGTTTTTGGTATATCCCTTATCCCGCGGGTCAAACTGGCTGTTTGCCAAGCTGTTGCCAAACTACAAGTTCCATGAGGCATTGCAAGATTGACAGTTACAAGCATGACTCCCAAAGGCAGAGGCTTGATGGGACTTTCACAACAGCTGGAGGGCCGCCAGTTTGACATCCCTGCTTTATCCTATCAGCCATAAGCTGTTGTGGAAAATTTATGTAACAATTAAAATCTCAAAACTCAATCTACTAAAATGAGTCATATTTTGCACTAGATCTGACAAATCCGCCACCGGAAGCCATTCTAACTAAAACTCAATTAAATATTATGAACCATCTTAAACTGCAATGAGGCTTTTAAAATTCACAGTTGGTTGGTGTATTTAAAAATGCACTGACTCTTATCTAGTATTAAATGTGTGATTCTACCATGACAACGTAAATGTGTTAGCAATACTTTTCTTTCTTTTCTTCCTCAGATAATAAAGCTGTACAGTAAAGAAAGATCACACTGTTTAACAGCAAATTATCATTTACCACCTTCTACTCAATAGAGTCATAATTCTAAAAATGCTTTTAAAGGCATGCATTAGCATATTTTATTCACTGCTGGAGATGGGATTAGTACAAACTTACTAAAAAATGAACAACGGAACAAGATTGAAAGGCAGATAGTTCTTTGAACTGTACAGAACAATTCTCTACCGTCCCTCATCTTTGCGACTCATTAGCAGGTCAGGACATTTCCCTGACAGGCAGGTTTAATAATTCACAAGTTTAGGTGACTAGATGTGACAGCTTGGCTGCCTTTCTTTTGACCTTTCTGTGTTTCATTGTTGCTTGATTTAGCCTAGATTTTGTCAGTTTACTTGGCATCATTTTAAATAGATAATCGTATTTCCTTCAACTATGACCACACAGATTACTGTTTAAAAAAGTTAGAATTTGATTATACAAAGTAATGAGCACAAGGTTTACTTTGAAGGTAGACAGCAGGATAATTTATAAAGTAATCCTTGCACACATTAAAATGCAAGTCAAGGATTTATGTCATTCTTGTTACAAAATGTTACACTTGTTAACATTCTGAAATGCTCCGTTCTAAAATCCACCATTTCGAGAAATGTTTATAAAAATGTTTTTTTAACCCACACACATATCTAGGAAATATTAAAGCGGATTTAACACTACGGTATGCATAATTAATCAGGTTATTCAAATGTAAATTGAGTAATCTAAAATGCATTTCACATAATCATCTGTACATAAATGCCATGTTTACATATGTTTGATGTCATTAATGTCCCTTGTTCAACACAACTTGTGACCAGTGTATGTTAAACAGGACTACAGAGAAAAGGGACAGGGTCGACTTGTTTTTAACCACTTGCCCTCCAGAGGATTTACCCCCCTTCCTGACCAGGCCTTTTTTTGCGTTATGGCACTGTGTTACTTTAACTGATAATTGCTCAGTCATGCAACTCTGCACCCAAATTAAATTTATGTCCTTTTTTTCCCACAAATACAGCTTTCTTTCTGTGGTATTTGATTGCCTGCATGTGTTTTTTATTTTGCGCTATAAAAAAAAAAGATTTTGAGAAAAAAAACTATATTTTGGACTTTTTGCTAATAAACATGTCCAATAAAAAAAACATAGAAAATCAAATTTCATCATAAATTTAGGGCAAAATGTATTCTGCTACATGTCTTTGCTGACAAAAAAATCCCAATACGTGTAAATTAATTGGTTTACGTGAAAGTTATAGCATTTACAAATGGCGGTATATACTGGAATTTTTTTTTTTCGATCATAGTAGGACTGCAGGACTGCGGTGGGCATTCTGACACTGGGGGGAACTGACTTGGTGTCACTGACATCCCTAGTGAAACCAATACAGTGATCAGTGCTAATAAAAAGCACTGACACTGTACTAATGGCACTGGGCAGGAAGTGGTTAACATGTGGTGTGGTTTCACGTGTGGTTTCAACTGTAAGCACACTTCATTGTATGGCTCTGCTATGCAGCGCCATACAAAGCAGTGCGCAGGAGTTGACAGCGGAGAGAACTGTATTGTTTACATATAGTTCTCTCCCCTGTCAGTAATACTCGGTGATCACCAGGTGCCAGCGAGTAATCACCGTGATTGACAGCTGAGGCCGTGAATGGTGGCACGGGTAGGGGCGCACGCTCGGCTTGTGCGCGCCCCCTACCTAGAACTTCAAAATCACGTATATATATATATACATATATATATATATATATATATATATGCATATATATGATTTTGCGCACCCGTGCCTCCCTGTAGTGGTGTACTGCTATAGGGAGGATGGGAAGCGGTTAAAGATGAATTATGAAGTCTGTCGACTTAAAGGTATCACTGAGTTATTCAGGATTTCATTTCATGTATAAAGGCCCCAGCATGGTCAGCTGTGAGCTGAACCAGTCTGGTTGCTTTAGATTAGACTGATCTGGTGGCAATAAGCCAGGTTTCCTATTGAAACTGTAGTCTATGTATGAATGGACCGAAAATCAGCAAGATACTGTAAGCTACAAAGGTCTATTATACCAATGTCTTTCTTTGATTACTTGTTTGACCTATCTGATTTTAGTATTCAGGTGAAACGCACATTGTTGGCATTTGGCTATAATGACACTGGATAGCTTACTACTTTGATGAAAATGTAAACTTATGATCATACAAGGAAAAAATAGAATGTAAGAAAACGTATCATACCCTGATGGATCATTATGTTACACTTGATAAATGAAAGCATGCTAAAAATATCAGCTAATAAGCAAGGACAGTCAAACACAAGGTCAAAATGCCTAGATCTAAAGTCTTTTTGTTATGGGAAAACTATAAAGGTTTCAATCAGTTTTATTGTAGTTATTTAATAATAATAATAATAATAATAATAATTTCAGATTACCTTTTTTTACTTGCTTTCCTGCCTCTGTTTAAGTTGTAGATGTAAATTGCAGCTTGAGCTATGGAGTCTGTAAGCAACAGGCTTTTTCACACAGACAGTAAATGGAGATATGTTACAAATAGATCCGCTGGCCTAATGAAGTACTGCATTATATCAATATGCAATATTTCATATTTACCTGACTAAAACAGGTTTATAAAATGTGTTCCGTAGTCAAGTCTACATTGAAAAAAATACTCACAATTCGCTTTACTTTTTTTTTAGTACACTGTGTTAGCCTTTAGAAATAAATACACTTGTACTGCATTCACTTCAATGAAAAACCCATTAACAGGCCAATGGGCTGTGGACAAGCTTTCGATTGATGTGGATGGAGTTTATACTCCTTCAATAGAACACGTACACTAAGCAGAATCGACAGGTTGCGCTGTGAAGATCGCTTAAGAGCATGGTTGTGGTTAAGTATGAAGGACTATAAAAGGTCATACACCAGGTCAGAATCCTAATATTCTCTCAAAGGTTAAGTTCTCAGTGGGATATTGTTTCTTTTTTTGTTTCATTAAATGAGAAGTTCAGGAATACTGTAAAAAAAAACAAAAAACAATTATACTCAACTAGATGGCTGCAGCACCGATCCCAGCTGCAGCTCTCCTCTACCACCTCTAAGACTGAGAATTCAGCATTTTTTATCACTCTGTTGGCTGAAAATGTGTCACAGGAGTACAGGATGAAGTGCACTCTTGTGATCCATAGGAGAAGTAGGACCCAAAGAGCTTTGGCTCTACTTTTCCTTTTGGAAAAAGCCTTCTTTCTCAGACATAACAGTGTCATCAGAATAATCAATAGATAGCTTAGTGTGTTTTTTTAAGTTTTTGAATGGGAAAACAATAGAAGCACTGCCAGGTTTTTGTTGCTTTCTGTCTACACATTGATGAGATTTTTCTTTACTTCCTGTCTTGGAGACAAGGGAATGCTTTCTAACACAGGTGTAAATAAAAGCCTGGCAGAGGTTCTAATCCTTCCTTGCTCTACTGAAAAAAAAACTTATTTTATAGCTTTAGGACTTGTTTACACTTGTGGTGCCCTCTGAAGTGTGATCTGAAGTGGATTGCTCTTCAGATGGTGTTTGGCGGGTGGTGAGGAGATGCTATGCTGCTTCCTCATTTCCTGTTTTATCCCCCCCAAACCATAACCATGTGACAAATGCATGTATTGCATGCAGTTCCAGGGCAGTTGCAGTGCGGTCTTATTCAGGTGAATGTGTCATGTTCAGTGAGTGGTACTGCCCAGCAAGCACAACAGAGGGGATAGGTTGCATTGCATCACAATGCAAATCATCGCAGCCAAGGCATGTAAACAGCCCCTCCGCTGCCTTTGCAGCTTAAGGGTGAACAATTTGGGGAGATAGAAAGGTGGCTCAACAGTGTGTTTTTACAACCCCTCACAGCAACCATCAGTGTAGCCTGATCAGCCTAATCAGTGTACCTGTCACAGCAGCTATCAGTGCAGCCTAATCAGTGTACCTGTCACAGCAGCTATCAGTGCAGCCTAATCAGTGTACCTGTCACAACAGCTATCAGTGCAGCCTAATCAGTGTACCTGTCACAACAGCTATCAGTGCAGCCTAATCAGTGTACCTGCCACAACAGCTATCAGTGCAGCCTAATCAGTGTACCTGTCACAGCAGCTATCAGTGCAGCCTAATCAGTGTACCTGTCACAACAGCTATCAGTGCAGCCTAATCAGTGTACCTGTCACAGCAGCTATCAGTGCAGCCTAATCAGTGTACCTGTCACAACAGCTATCAGTGCAGCCTAATCAGTGTACCTGTCACAGCAGCTATCAGTGCAGCCTAATCAGTGTACCTGTCACAACAGCTATCAGTGCAGCCTAATCAGTGTGCCTGTC